TCACCTTTTTATTTTTTTTATTTAATTATTTCTTATTATTTTTTTTTAAATTTCATTTATTTTTTTTTCCACCTAACTTGATTACTATCACACAGGAAAAAACAATCCCCTGTGTTATAGCAATTGGAGGTGACAGGTTCTCTTTATTGACCCTGTCACCTCCAATACAGGAGTTCTAGCACAGCACTGTGCTGGAACTCCTGTGACTGGTGAGAGAGGAAGAGCACAGCGCTCCCCTCTCACTGTCTACAGTCTACAAGGAGCAGCAGGGTTACTTATAACCCTGCCGCTCTGATCACTGCAGTGAGAGACTCGGGACTCGGCGGCAAAGGACAGAACCAGGAGGAGAGAGGTGAGTGCAGGGGAAAGGGGAGGACGGACGGACCGGCTGCACACTGTTTACATGTGATCTTGGCGACATCGAAAACGAAAAATCGGCTGCCTCACTCTACATTTAGTCCTGCTTGTACAAAGCAGGACTGAATGTAGAGAGGGCAACTTCCCCACAAGGACACCGCTGCCGCCCCTCTGCGCCCTGAGGCCGGGCCTCGGTGGCCTTGTGGGGAATATGGGCCTGAACATATACTATATTGCCAAAAGTATTGGGACACCCCTTCAAATCATTGGATTCAGGTGTTCCAATCACCTCCATGGCCACAGGTGTATAAAATCAAACACTTAGGCATGCAGACGCTTCTACAAACATTTGTGAAAGGATGGGTCGCTTTCAAAAGCTCAGTGATTTCAAGCGTGGTACAGTGATAGGTTGCCACCTGTGCAATAAGTCCATCCGTGGAATTTCTTTGTTACTAAATATTCCACGGTCAGCTGTTAGTGGTATTATAACAAAGTGGAAGCAACTGGGAACAACAGCAACTCAGCCACGTAAAATGACAGAGCAGGGTCAGCGCATGCTGAAGCGCACAGTGCGCTGCAGTCGTCAACTGTCTGCAGAGTCAATAGCTACAGACCTCCAAACTTCGTGTGGCCTTCAGATTGGCACAACAACAGTGCGTAAAGAGGTTTCCATGGCGGAGCAGCTGCATCCAAGCCTTACATCACCAAGTACAATGCAAAGCATCGGATGCAGTGGTGTAACGCACACCGCCACTGGACTCTAGAGAAGAGGAGACGTGTTTTCTGAAGTGACGAATAACACTTCTCTGTCTGGAAATTCGATGTATGTGTCTGGGTTTGGCATTTGCCAGGACAACAGTACTTGTCCGACTCCATTGTGCCATGTGTAACGTTTCGTGGAGGGGGATTATGGTGGGGGGTTGTTTTTCAGGGGTTGGGCTTTGCCCCTTAGTTCCAGTGAAGGGAACTCTTAAGGCATCAGCATACTGAGACATTTTAGACAATTTCATGTTCCCAACTTTGTGGCAACAGTTTGGTGATGGCCCCTTCCTATTCCAACATGACTGCGCACCAGTGCCCAAAGCAAGGTCCATAAAGACATGGATGAGCAAGTTTGGGGTGGAGAAACTTGACTGGCCTGCACAGAGTCCTGACCTCAACCTGATAGAACACCTTTGGGATGAATTACAGTGGATCCTTTGACAAATCCCATCAGCCACTGGAAGAGGAAGAGGAACTTGGAATGCAAGTGCAGTGATGTCACCACATTTATACTCCATTCATTCTTCCGCCTGTCCCTGTTATTGAATGCCCATACCTTGGTATAGACAGTGATAGCTAGAAGAGTGTGCAGGAGATTAGTGTGATCCACTAATGGTGGTTTCAATGCTTTGCTGGCTTCAGTGCATTTATTACTTTTATTTAAAAGGTGGACTTTGTCTCTGAGAATTTAGTTTTTTCCTTGCAAACTCTACGCCTAGTGAGCTACATAAAATGTTATTGGGATAAATTTGGATAAAATATTCCCCCACAAAATGACCTTTTACGAATTATTAACATGATTATATTTTGTAAACACATGGCAAAAAGTTTGATTTACACATATGTTGATATGTGTGAGGATGCCAGCAGACAGTGACCCCACAATCCTTTCAAGAACACATTTGAAGGTTAAGTAACTCTAGATCTCAGTTAATCTCATGTAATCTGGTATTACTAAAATGAGCATACAACAGACTAGTTCCCTTTCTCAGAATGCCACTCGCAAGATTCGGACAATGAAGCCTCAAAATTGGTTGATTTTCCCCTAATCACACAGAAGCCATGTTTCTTCTCCTTTATTTTTTAATACATGTTTTTAGTACACTTGAAGCTTTCTGTCCATCACAATGCACTTGTATTTTCCATGGAAGGAGTGACGGTACCGGGACAAGGTATGCAATGACTTTCGTTGTAGATGCTTGAAATTACACAGGATTACTGAAAAAAAGAAAACGAAGATGCATTTTATATTTATGTATACATTTATCACTTTTTGTTCTGCAAATTACTTTTATAGGCTTTATAGCAGTTTAAAAGGAGGAGCACTCTTTAAAAGGTTACGTCACATTTTGCTTGGTGCTAATCCATATCTAGGTTACAGAGAATATATACCTGTATATCTATCATTAACAAAGCGGTGCATTGGCACTTGCACCTTGTTTTCCTCTAGTGACCTAGTGCATGAGTCCTAAATACTTTACTTTGCTAAATCTAAACTTAGCAGAACACTTAATGATTAAAACAAATAAATACAATACATTTTTATAAGTACCAACATACAATCAAAACATATGATGATTAACACAAATTAATACAATACATTTCTATAAACACCAACTTACATTCAAAACTCATAATGATTAAAACTAACAAATACATTTCCATAACAACAGTAAACAAATCTATTGATCTTTCATTCCTGTCTTTTTCATGGTAGCTTCTTACCAGACTACCCATAGATGCATAATGCATGCTGATTTGGTATTCATTTAGGCCTGGTTCACACCTAGGCATTTTTGAGCAGTAGGAAAAGTGCTTTTAAAACACACAACACAAGCAATCCCATGATTTTCAATGGCTCCTGCTCACACCTGAGCAGCAAAACACCAGCAAGAAAATGCCAAATGCAGAAAAAAGTACATGAGCTTCTTTTTGGCAGTTTCAAGCTTGTTTTCCCCCCCATATACTTCAATAGAAACACCAGGAAATGCACCACAGAAGCATGTTGCACATTTTCTTGCACGTTTAAACGTGTGTTCGTCCATTGACTGCAATGTTTCTTAAGCTGCCAGTCAAAACGCATGGCTTCATGTGCGCGCGTTTTCATGCGTGTAACAAAATGTGCCAAGGCGCTCATAAACGTGCAAATAACCGCATGCTGATCCTGCATATACAAACACCCAAAAACAATGCCGCCTAGGTGTAAACCAGGCCTTAGACATTAAAGTAGCAGTATAAACCTGCCTAAGCAGTTGATGAGATGATGTATTATGTAACCAGAATAACAAAACATAGATGGAAAGCTGTGCCATAAAGCCATACAGCTAGCTCAACAAACACCTGACAGTACATTCGGTTTCCATTACACAGAAGTTACATATCTGGTGATCATGCATCAGCTGACAAATGTATGAAGCCCATTATTTTCTAGAATCCTTTGCTACTTTTATAAAATTTTGCCCAATCATTCCAAGCACAACCAGTATGGGAACCAATTATCTAATAATTAAGGCTCCATGAACATTTAATAATGTGGTTATAACTAGCTTGGCTTATCAAGGACATTCTCTGACATTTTTGTTTTATTGCTTGGGTCTATCTTTAGCATCATCAGCTTGTTTCTTATTGGCCATTGTCTCCTTTATTTTGTATCTGTATGAAATGCAAAAGGATTTGTTCTGCATTTGGCAGAAAATCTAGGTATACACTGTTAGATTTTTCTGTCCAGCTTTTGGGATGAACGGAAAAAAATCTAACAGATTCCTCTATCCACTCTAAATAGTGTGGATGGAGGAATCCCACACTGCGGCTATAGTACTTTGCCAGTGGGCCAATGTTAGCATAGAGTGGGATTCATTCTCATTGCTTCCTATAGGTTAATGTACTTTGAACATTGCAGTGAAAACCACTAAGCACATGAAATGGAGAGGATTGTGAGAATATATGGCACAGTAACACCTATGTATAATGAATGAGAGTGAAATTATGTTTTATTGTAACATCCCAAATGTATTCAAACAAGTGAGCAGCCCAGCAGTGATATCCCTAGCTGATGCTATGTGACCCTAGTACATCCCTGCTGTTGGGTCGGCCTTTAGGTAAAGAGCTCCCCTGTGTTGGTTATGTGTTAAGATGAAGCACTGAGATCTTGAGGAATGCGGAATTAAGTTTGACCTGCTTAGGAGAAAATGATATCAGAATACAGTATTATACAGGATACAGAGAGAACTTCCTGTGTATATCATAGATAAGTATGCACACAAAGACTAGCATAGACTAGTATTGCACTACAACGCCATCTACAGCTCAAAAGCCATTTTACATCTCAATATGCTGTTGCATTTCCAACACCCTGAAGGCTCTAAATTATGTGGGCAGGTTACAAGAAAACACAGTCCTGCTGTCATTCATTATACTGAATGGATGTCTTTTATTCTGCCATCGTAGAATACATTTGACTGTTCCCTCTATAGAGAGAGACGTACCTGGTATCTGCCCAGGCCAAAAAAAGGAAAAAAGTATAACTTAGTTTTCATAGGAAAAGGGCAGGTGGCAGCCTTTGCATCACACAGACATCCATGCCTCTTTGCCTTATTAGAGAAGTCCTAGATGTTGTAGCTGGCCGTGGCCAGAACATGAATATCTTTAAATGAGCGTTCTGATTTTAGTGAGCACATGTTGCAGCCCAATGTTGATGTTTTAACTGGTCTGTACGTACCTCTTCTTCATTAAGCTTCCAACAGGAATGCATTAACAGTAATAAAAACATTGTCAGATGTTCTAAATAATCCTCACTCTATTACAAATATGTTTTTACATTTGTCTTTATTTGCTTTCACTTCCTAGATGCTGACAG